CTCACAGGAGATAGAGAGACAGAGATACTGAGACAAAGTGAGAAATCCCCCACACACACACACCCCAGGAGGATGGCCATGCTGTGATTCCTTCTCCTCCATCCTCCTCCTAGGATCTGGGCACACAGGGAAACAGAGGTGGCGTGACACTGCCCTCACTGTCACATGCCTGTTACCGGCTACCGTGCCAGACGGTGGGCTCAATCTCAATCAGAGAGAAGGCAGTGCCATTTCCCCACAGCTAGAGGGCTGGAGACCAGTTGGGGCCTCAGGGTAAGAGGGGGAGCTGGCCTCGGGTCATGGAGGTTGGGGTGCTGGACTCCTGCATGATTGACTGTGGTTTGATTGTCAGACCTGATGGCTTGCTTTCTCACCCTTCTCTCTCTTTCACTCTCTCTGGTGAGTGCACTATAGGGCACGTGCGCTCACCAGAAGACAGAGGGAGATAGAGAACCAGAAAGTGAGAAATCACACCAAAGGGGGAAGGCCACGCTGCAATCCCTTCTCCTCCATTCTCCTCTCGGGATCTTGGGCACGCACGCACACACGCCCAGTGTGAGTTTAAGCCACCGGGTCCAGGACTTGAACTGTAGTCATTACATGGGAGTCTAGCAACATAGCCATTATGCCAACTGCTGGTCACTGTATCTTCAGTTCTTTTAATCGCTATTTTAATTATGCAACCCTTTAACATAAAATGGACCAAGTCCATTATAATAGTCATTGTAACAGTTTTCCTGATTCTTCTAAGATTCATTCTTTTTTAGTATAATTTCTAATTTGCATATAGCCGTACACTCTATGGGGTGTGGTGTGGTTTTTCAAAGCATGTGTACAATGGGTAATGAGCAAGTCTAGGCCATGGCCCTGTGCACCGTCTCGAGTGTCTGCACTCCCCTGTGTGGCACATCTGGAGTGTGCCCTTCCGCTGTGCCGTGCACAGAGTTGTCACCAGTCGCCGTTGCTCTGCTGTGCTGTCGTGCTCTGGAACTCATTCTGCCTGTCTACCTGCACTCCCGTGCAAAGTTATCCAAGCTTCCCTCATCCCTCCCCACCCACCCCCAGCTGCCGTCCCCAACACTCTCCACATCTACACAAGCAAGACATTCGCGTCCACCAGTGAATGAGGACACGTGGCATTTGTCTTCTGGTGCCTGGGTTATTCAATGAGCACTCACTGCTTTCTCTGTGCGGACCCATGTTCCCTTATATGATTGCATTTACCCCTTGTGAGGCTGAATAATGTTCCATTTTACACACGCACCCTTTTCTCTACCCACTCCCCTGATTGTTGGGCTCTTAGGCCGATTTCTTACGTTGACTGGCATGCACGATTCTTCAGGGAACGCGGGAGTACAGAGGCCTTCCTTCCACGCTAACACCATGGAGAGGGAGTCCTGGCCCTAAGGTCGTCCTAGCTCTGGTTTTCTGTGGCTCCTCTGTGCTGTTTTCTGTAACAGCTGTCCTAATTCATGTTCTTGCTTGGAATGTGCAGGAATTAGGATTCATCCTTTCATGAAGCTTCAGAATTATTTCATCAAGCCCTCAGCCCCTTCAATATCAATCACTCCCTCTTTTAGTTATTTTTTTTTCCTATAAACACTTTGTAGAAAGTGCACCATGTTCTAGATTTCTTGAAGAAGTCACATCCCTCTCATTCTTTCTCCCTTCTCAGACTCTCTCTCCAGCTAGGGTCCACGCATCCCAAGCTGGTTCAAAACTCCTCATTGTTCTTCCTGCTTGCCCTGATCTATCCTCTGGCCACAGAATGCAACTCCTTGGCTTGAGATTTCCCTCTGACCCTCAGCCCTGCCTCACCCCAGCCACTTACACCTGGAGTGAAGTGTCAGGGAAGCCGGCAGGATGTAAGAGGCTGGTAATGAGATCGCTGTGCTGCCTCCTCAGGTCAGGGCCTGAAGACATATTAAAGCATGTAATTCAACCCAGCAGGTAAGGCTTGCAAGTAGGAATTAGGCTTCCATTCACTCAACCCTCACCTACTTCCATTCATCGTGCCTACTCACTGTTACATCATCAGGAAAGTCCTGACATATTTTTCTATGCAAAAATGTACCATGACATTCTCAAGAACCCAATAAATTAACATGGAGAGCATTATTTTCTGGATGGGTCCCTTGTGAGTCCATCTCTGTGACTCCAAGTTGTTTCGGCCATCAAGTCTGACAGTGACAACAGCAGAACCTTCTCCCAGGCAATGCTTTGGCCACCAAGTCTGGTGGTCATAGATGACCACAGTGGCAGTAGCCAAGAGCCTGTTCTCCGAATACTGGCGACTGCAGAGGGAAGTGGGCTCCCCTGTCTCCAGGGGAATAGCACTTGGGAGCCACTCCTTCGTCGAAGTTGGCTTGTTGGAACGCAGCCCTGCCGCTCACTGGTCTGTGAGTGGAGGACAGAGCTGCTGCTCCCTGAGGGCTTGGCTAACTGCTTTCATCTTTGTATCTAGTGCCCAGATAAATATTTACCATATAAATAAATATTGTATTTCCTCTAATAGATACTTAGTTTCTTTACCCTGTTAATAACGCATAGGTAACTTGAAAAGGTCAAGCATATCATTGAACTTGAATTAAGGTGGATGTCCAGCAAGTGAGAGTGGTTGAGAACACCCTGGCCTTGAGTAACTCAGCCGCTGAGGGGATTGGAACAAAGACAGGCCCTCACTTGTCGACGTCAGTGGCTGTTCACTGTGGGATGTGGGCTGCTTTGACAGGAGGCAGACACCTGAGAGACACACGAACTGAATGAGGCTTCCTGCTACACTCCTGAGGAAGTTCCCTCCCAGCCGAGGGTTGGTCGGCCTGCTTATGATGTCTCCTGAGGGTGTGAGGGCTGCTTGATCCTGGCTTTACTGGCCTACAGTGAAGGCCACAAAGTGAGGTGCCCTGGCCACTGTGGGAGGTCAGTGCTGACCTTTGTCCACACATACTAGTGAGGGAGGGGCCTCTACACTTGAGAAAGGACTGGGACCAGCAGTTAGCGTAATGGCTATGTCGTTGAATTCCCATGTAGTTGACCACGGTCTGAGTCCTGGAACCGGTGGCTTAAACTCATGCCACGCGTGTGTGCGTGCGTGCCCAGGATAGCAAGAGGAGAAAGGAGGAGAAGGGACTGTGGTGTGGCCATCCCCCCTGGAGGGTGATTCCTCGCTTTTTGTCTCTCTCTGTCTTTTTGGCGAGCGCACATGGCCTATAGCAAAAACCTCTCTAAAAAAAAAAAAAATTAATTAAAAAATAATAGAAGAATGCCTTTGAAGTATCTGCTTCAACCCTCTACTTTACTCAAGCTGTGCCTTCAGAGTCCAACAACTTTCTTACTGTTCTCTGTGCTGGAAAGCCAGCCAGACCCTGTGGCCCATGGTCCTTGTGGGCTTTGGGGTTTCACCGTTCCAGGCCCCCAGCACCACAGAATTGCTCGTTGCACAGTTCCTCTGATCTTTCCCTCCTCTTGGCGAGAATTAGGCTTGGCTTAAGTACTGGGTGGGCAGTGCCCACTCGGGGGGTCTGCCCAGACCACTACCTCATGTGGTCCCCATGGCTGTATCACACTGTGTGCTCATACCACCACGGTAGGGCCAGAGTGGAACCTGAGACGGTTGAACTCATCGCCAGGAGTTGCTGACCGCTGCTCAGTGAGAGTCTCTCCTGCCTACCCCTCGGCTTGTGAGGCACACAGCTTCCTGTGCTCGAGGGCACCACACTCCAGGAAGCAGAGGAAGCCAGATGCAAAGGAAGAGAGAGGCAGAGGCCGGGAGATGGGTGCACTGTCTGTGCTCCTTCTGTGCCCATTCAGAACCCTCTAGTCTTAGGAAAAATGCTTCTTTTGAGCCTAAACATACGGTCATTTTCTCTTTCTTGTAATTAAAAATGCTTCTAAAGTCCCTTGCTTGGGATGTCCAGGTGTGGCCAAGGTGCTGGAGTACTGTTTGCTTATTATTGTGTAACTGAGTTGTATTTCAGAAGGTTCCAGGAAATGGGGGTGTTTCAGGTAACAAGGGAAAGCTCTCAGCAGAGCGAGGCTGCTATCAGGAAGTGTGGCTTTTGTTTTAGATAAGCTGTCTCATGTACAGGGTGTGGCCGTGGGAATGCTCAGAGAGCCGTGTGGTTCAGGGGTCCCATCCGGAAAGGGCAGTGCCCCTGGCCCCTGCAAATAGCCCCTGGCTGGTTCCTGTCTGGATGTATTTATTGGCTCCTCTATGGGACTGTGGTTCACCAGGTGCCTTTCCCATTTCTTGAACACAGGTGTCATTTAAATCATGTTTGCAGCAACATGACAATAAAACCAAGTAACGACAGGGGCCTTTGGCCTACATATTTACAGGCCAGAAGAGTAAGCTTTGGGCTCAGAGCTACTTCACAGCCTGCTCTGATACCCGGCACCTCCTGCATACCTGCCTTCCCTCCTTACTTCTTCAAATACACCAAATGAAGCCGAAGGATTTAGCTGCTTAATATCTAAACCAGAGCAGGGAAAAACATTTCTAAAACCACCAGGCAAGAGAAAGGCTGAGGTGGATGTGCGCATAGCTGGGTACCCTCTGTTTCAAAGTCCCCTGAGATCCCGCTGTGCAGCCAGCACGCCCTCTCCAAGCCGGAGGCAGCAGTTTCGACAGGAACAGCAAGCCCCTGGGCACTTCATGGGTGAGAAGCGTCTGCTCAGCACAGGACCACATCATCAGGAGGGGAGGCAGACGCTCTCTCCAGGCCACCCTGCCATGCTGTGCAGCTCCCTGGGTCAGGCCTTGAAGCAATAGCTGTCACTGACGCCTCCCATCCCTGCATCAGCTAGAGTAGCCTCGGGTTCAGGAGTGGTCCTGAGCAGGAGGGATGTCCATATGGGAGCCAGGAGCCTCCAGAGGAAGCTGCAGCCCAGGGGCAGGATGGGCCCACCTCTGCAGCCAGTGTAAGAGAGAAAGGGAACGAGAGCTGAGGCTGGTGCACCCCAGCTTTATGTGGTCAAGGATGGGCAGAGGGACGAAGAGAGATTTGTAGGAGCAGCCAGAGTGAAAGCAGGAGGCTACTCCTGGAAGCTGTGTTTATTCTGAGAGGCATTCCTCAGCAGCCCTACCTTGTGGATGCACTCTGCAAAGCCCTAGCCAGCAGAGGTGGTTGCCATCTTACCATGGTGCTGGCAGCACACAGGCTGCCTGCGACTTGTCGGCCTGGCTCCTGGCCAGGCACCGCCTGCCTGCCCCCAGAGCTCAGAACTCACAGATGACCAGGCGCTGCTCCCGGCAGGCCTTGTCATTCCACTTGCCGTTGGTGAAGATCTCCACACAGTTCTCTGCACCCCCGTTGTTGTTGGGCTCCCCGGGTGCCCAGTTGGAATAGACCAGGGGCTCCCCTGTGGGGTAGACGAACTTGCCCTCTGTGTGGGCGTCAGTCATGCTCAGGAAGGCAGCCTTGTTCTGAGCGATGGCCAGCTGCTGCACAGCAGCATTCTCAGCTGCGGAGCGCGGGGAGGCCAGCTGCCCACCGGCCTGAGTGCACTCCTTCTGTGCATCCTGGAAGGATTTCTCGAAACCGCCTGTCTTGAAGATTTTTTCCCCAATACCTCGGCCATCGGGAAAGAGCTCAGCTAGGAGAGGAGGAGAAGAGAGCTGAGTCAGAGTATGGCCGCACCTGGCCAGAGCTCAGGGCCTCTGCTTTCCAACTGGAAGCTTCCAGACTTCCCACATAGGGTACTGGGCACCCACAGGATGCAGTTCTAGAACAACCCTAGCTCCGTGACACACCTGTCACGGTGATCTGGGAGTCCTCACCAACTGGTGATAGCGTTACGGCTCAGAGAGGCCTAGTGAAGGCGAGAGGCCACACAGACATCAGGTGTGTGGCTGAGCCTTGCCACCAAGTCCAGGCGCCCTCTGCTGTAGGCCACACTGTGCTGGAGTTGGATTTTTCAGTTATCATGTAGAATTGAATGACTTTTCCTAGGGAAATAATGGCCACAATTTGAAAGCGCTGGAGCAGCGAGCCCCTGTCACTCTGTGTAGCAGTGTGGAGGTAGGTGTCAGAGTGTCTCGTGGGGTGGGCAGGGGGTGGCATGTCTGGCAGCTGTGATCCCCACTCTGGGTCTGACCCAGAGCTGTCCTCTTGGTGTGCATGTGAGTGTGACCACACCAGTCAGCCCGCCCTGGGGTGAGAAGTGCAGGACGCAGCTGGGGCTAGTGATGGAGAGAAATCTGGTGGTCAGAAGCCCAGGCATTTAGACCCAAACTGGCAATGACTGTCTGGGAGATCAAGAGGAAGTCACTTCCCTTTACAGGGTTTACAATTCCTATTTCCGAAATAGGAACTCACTTTACAAAAGCACTCCCCTGTGTGACAAGCCTTGTATCCCTTTTTAAAAAAAGTAATTATTTATTATTTTATTATTATTATTTTAGAGAAGTATTTTATTATAGGGTGCATGTGCTCACCCGAGAGATGGAGAGAGAGAAAATGAGAAATCACCCCCTGCAATCCCTTCTCCATTCTCCTCTTGTGATTCTGGGCATGCATGCACATGTGGCCAACACAAGTTTCAAGCCACCAGGTTTGGAAATCAAACCATAGATGGCCATGGGGGAATACATTACCCCAACCACCATGCCACCTGCTGGCCCCTATTATTATTTTTAAAAAAATTTGCTATAGGGCATGTGGAATCACCAGAGAGACAGAAAGAGAGAGAGAGAGAGAGAGAGAGAGAGAGAGAGAGAGAGAGAGAAGCAGCCACCAGGGACTCAAACTGAGGTTGGCTGTGTGGGCGTCCAGCACCTTAACCATCATACCACCTGCTGGCCCCTCATATCCCTCTTGTCCAGTCCATCCGCACCCTAGATGAGCCCATGCACTGTAATTTTATGTAAAGGTCACTAGCCCGCGGGCTCTAGACAGTGCTGTCTTTGGTCTTGCTGGGCTGACTCTGGGCCCCCGTCCTCCTAGAACATCTTCAAGGAGAGCTCGAAGAAAAGATTCTCCATGGTCTCAAGACCAGAGCAGCCCCAAGCAGTCAGTGTGAGAGGCCAAGGTAGGCCTGGTTCATGATCCACGCCCCGGGTGGGTGTGAGGTGCATCCCACAGTACATGCGAGTGTCTGTCCAGGTGTGTGCATGTTCGTATGTGCCTGCATACGCGTGGGTTCATGTACACAGGTGGATGTGGGGTGAGTAGTTAAGTGCACACAGCCGTGTAGCAGGTTTGCACGTGCACGTCATTGTGTGTACACTGCTGTGTCTGGAAGAGAGTGAACACACATACAGATGTTTGTTCAGGAGGGACAGAGAACGAATGCCTGAAATGCTCATCCCTGACCTCGGGTGCTTAGGAGCCAACCCCGTGTCTCACTCAGGCAGGCCCCTTTATGCTCTACTCGTTCAGAAAACTCTTTTTCCAGCTCAGTGAGATTTGCCTAAAGATATGGACCCAAAGTTGATGTTGGGGAGGGTAGAGGGGAGTAGGGGCACTTGGTAACCAGTGGAGACTTAGAAGGGCCCAGGGTGCTCAGGCATCCACTGCAGAATGTCAGGATTACTGCTCTATTCACTCAGAAGCCACCGGCAGAGTCCCGCCCTAGAGCCCAGAGGAAGCCAGCCCCTGACTCGGAGCAAGTCTGGGGTGAGATGCTCAGTGGCCACACGCCAAGGTCAGAGCCCACTTCCTGGCACTCCCAGGCAGCATCCCAGCCCCAACTTTCAGGAAAGCCCTGGTTTTGCACTGCCTTGGGCTCTGCCGCCACACCTGTGGGCACGGAGGCAAGGGATGCAGCCTGGCTGGGCGTCTCCTTGTCTGCTGCAGGGACCAGCACGGGTTAGGGCAAAGTCCTACCAAGCTTCACGGGACTCAGCATCGTCTGCCGTGTGCAGGAACCTGATAGCCTCGAACGTCCTCTGAGGCTGGAGAGGTGATGCATGGGTCCTACCCTCCAACGGGTCCCCTGGAGTCCTGGAGCATGTGGCTTCTCTGCTCTGGCCCAGCCCTGGTCTTGGCACCACACCTGTCCCAGTCATATGTCCAGCTCTCTGCTATGGTCCCATCCTCATTCTCATCCCAACCAGGATCAGGCTCAGCCCAGGTCCAGCCCAAGGCCCAGGCCTGGTATTGGGTCTGATGCTGGTGCTGGGCCCGGGGTCCAATGCAGGCACTCACCTTTCTTGTACTGAGAGAAGACAGCCTGGAGGTGTTGCACCTGTCCCTGAAGGGCCTCAACCTGCTGCTTCAGAGAAGTGATGTCTGCAAGGAAGCAGACAACCCAGTGACATGCCATCCAGTGCAGCCTGGAAATGGCGGAGGCTGGGCCTCTCGATGGTGGTACTGGGTGGAGGTGGGGGAACGGCTGCTCCAGCAAGCCCACCTCTACTGACAGAGCTGCCTCTGCCCTGGCTGTTGCCATGGACAAATGGGTCCCTGAGCAAGTCTCTGTGCCTCACTGACCCTGGGCCAGACAACATTCGACTGCAAATTCTGGGCATACGGTGGCATCTCCATGTGGTGGGGACAAGAGCATGTCTTCCTCCTGCACCCCTAGCCACCAGGTCACCAACACTCAGAACCGTCCTGTGAATTGGGAGGCTGGCACTGGTTTCCCCAGGGCCAGAGAGAGAAATTGTGGGTTTCTCCTCTCCCTCCCACCTAGGACCCAGGGGCCTCCAGAGCCAGGAGTTCTCCCTTACCAGGAAGTCCACTTTCGCCCTTGGCTCCTCTGTCCCCAGGAGCACCTCTGTCCCCTTTCAGCCCTGGAGGCCCCCTCGCACCAGGAGGTCCCTGCAGGCCAACAGCTCCAGAAGGCCCTGGGGTCAAAGATGAGCTGGGTGAGCCATTTTCCAACATTTTTACCCAAACTGCACATGGCTTATCTATAGCTCAGCAACACACCCACCTACATATAGACTTCTTCCTGAACCAGACATGCACCCTTGCACCCAGCCGCCCCATGCCTCCCCCAGGTACGATCTTCCCTGTCACCCAGCCACCCCACTGCCTCCCCGGCCATGATCTTCCCTGTCACCCAGCCGCCCCATGCCTCCCCCAGGTACGAGCTTCCCTGTCACCCAGCCGCCCCACTGCCTCCCCCAGGCACGATCTTCCCAGCCCCCCAGC